AGCGCCGCTTCGATTTCCCGCTCCCTGTTGATTTAATTAGCAAAATTATTCGGCGCGCAATGGCACACACAGCGAAACATACGGCGAACTAACTTAACAACAGGTCAGTAGCGATCTATTCCGCATATAGGCGGGCTGCATTCGCGACCGTCACCGACAGACAGGGACGGACGTTGCATAAACACGCGCGCGTGTACTGCTGCCCGCTCCGGGAGCCGAGTTAGTTTGCAAATAGCAGGATGGAAGATAGTTCTGGACGGTAGTCCGGTGACGTGCGTACCTACGCTCACGTCAGCCAACCGGTTAACCAGTTAACAAGCCTGGAAGCTCGATCGCAATTAAAACGTTAAGTCTAACTTGTCCGACTAGTCTAATTTTCATTGTTCGTTTGAATTTTACGCTGGTTGCTAGCGGACGAACTTGTATAGGATTTTAGACGCTTCTCTCCGTCAGGGAATTAAGCATTCCGGATCAATTTCGTGGTTGAATTAAAACTGCTGGTTTGAGAGATTGATTAGACGTGTGGTAAATTGCTCGTGAAAGTATTAGAACGCTTTGCAACGAAATTACAAGATATTTAATACAAAAGTTGTAAGTGTGAATCATTTTGTCTTATCAAATTGGCTGTTCGTGCTGTGTATTTATCTATATATTTAAATATACATCTCCATCAAATATTTCAAAACCTCTGTCCACATTTTTAGATGATCGTTGACTACATTGTTAACGAGGTTTCAAAATGTTTTATTAATACATAGAAGTTAACAGATGAATGAATTTTCAACGAACTCCAACGTTAAAATTCTAACGAAGAAATCGAGAGTTTACAGGATAAAGTGATATATTTGCAGAGTGTACGAACTGGATATCTACTTGAAATTATTGTAGAAGTAAATTGGTTCGTCATTTAACTGTGTCACGAACAATTTAAATCTAAATTTAATTCTTTCGCAGCTGTATAAATTATTTTTCTAAAATACTTGAACTATTGAATAGTAATAATTTTTGTCGGAAGCTCGAGGAAAACCTTGCAAGGATACGCGTCTGCGAATACGATTTAATTACGCGTTATCGATCTCGGCCTCGACAAGCGATCGATCGATCACCAGAGAGTTTTCGGACAGTGTCGAGCGGAACATCGTGAAGACGCGAGTTGTGTGTAACGCGGAAGCTGGCCTGTTAAAGTTCCAAAGTTGCCAAGTATCTTGCTCTCGAATATGTTCGCAGCGCGGTACAATGTTCTTGTTACGCTTGGTCAGAAATAACGACAGGAGTCGTTAGAAGTTGTAGGTACAATTTCCGGCGCAACTGAGCTACCACGTAGCTCGGCTATTGTTCCACCGATGCCGGATTCCACGTGAATAAATTGCGCCAGATACTTCCGGACGATGATCAGAAATTAGCGACCCCGTACAAATTTCGTCCATGTAGAATAAATCTCTCGAGTATCATCCGCCAAAAATTTCGAGAGACGACAGTTTCAGAGCCGTGACAATCCTTTGGACATTTTCCAGATCATGTCGAAGAAGGAATGGTACTTTAATACATTTCAAGATTGTCTCTAATAATCGATGATATTTTTCACAGCATAATTACTGAAAACAACTAAATTCGTGAACACTGAAATAAAATAAGAATATTTTAACGTGATTTTTGATTTAAAAGAAAACAGAAAAAGTATCACGACGCACACTCTCGTTTAAAAGTCTTGGAACAAATACTACATTTGTTTCAAAAGCGGGAAAAATTAAATGATATTTTATACAACAAGCAAATGTTATACAGCTGTCAAGTATTAAAACACGGTGGATGGAGACACTTGATGGAAAATTGTCGATACTTACAACTCTTATAACTTTGTGAGGAGAAATCGTACAGTTTTAAGGGATTTTTGTAAAGGAGAGACTTCAATCTTTGGGACCATGGTAAATTTAGTTATGAAACAAATTTTGCAGTGTGTAAAATTTTCGAGAGAAGAAGTATCTTTACTTAATCTCTTCAAAAGATGTAAAAATCATCTTTGGGAGAATTCAGTACTGTGAAAATAGAGGTTATAGCCTTAAAAATGAATCTAAATAGCGTGCGAATACTTTTTGTACATTAACACCTCACAGATTCCTCTGAGTTCAAATTTTACGAGGAATTTCAAAAAAGTATACTACTTCATCAAGGATTTTATAAAGTACATTATATTATCAGTCTCTCTATTTTTTTCTTTTTATGTAATTAATCTATTTGGTAAACGATCTAAATTCTCATCGAAACGAAAAATTGTTTCAAGACTTTTTAAACAACGGTGTATATCTGCGTTATCGGCTATACAAAATCAGTGACGCGCCTGATGTGTGCACTATTTTTACATACTAAAGGCCGTGCTCATAATACAGTCATTTGTCTTTACGTGATATTAAAAGCAATCGTTATTCAATGCTCTAGAGACCTTATTCTATTGTTGGCTTCACCGATAAAATATCTTTTCGATGCGGCCTAACGCCGCGATCTTAGTCAATGACGTCTTTGGCTACTGAGTAATGATATTAAATGACGCAAAGACGGAAGACCGTGGAACGTCATCCCCATTATCGAAGAGAATTCACTTCGCGGCGTAATTCCTACGAGAAGAAAAAGCAAAAGGTCGATTCTCGAAAGGTTAATTCATGCTCCGCTATGAATCTTGCGAAAGAGAAAAAAAGGGGGGCAGTGGAGGAAGAAGATAGCGAACGATGGTGCTTCATAAATCCCCGGGAACGCATCGCGGTACGCGCAAAAAGCTACAATCGTATAATTTATCGCGGTGCTAGGTACCTGGTGGAAGTGGCACTAGCCGAGGTAGAGAAAACGAGAAACGCGGCCTGGCACGTTCGATGGCGCGAACACCCATTAAATTTCAGACAAACCAGTTCGCATGGTTTCCTTAATAACATTGCCGGTTGCGTTCGCGCACTCGACGCGTAACGACGCAGCCATTCGTCGGCAAGGCTGATGTATTTTCAGAAAAAGCGTTTCAGTTGCGCAATACGAAAGTATGCAAACAGTCAAATTTTCAAATTCGCTCGATAAAACGATAAAAACTCGCGCGCGTTATATTCTGTAGTTTCGCTCGGCTAGATTGCGATCACGTGTTCATCGACGCGAGTAGCAGTTCGATTCTTAGTTTGTCTCACTCTACCGAAAAATTTTGTTCGCCCGGTCGTAGACACGCAGCCAGACGCGCGGCGTATTAATATCGCGCGTGCCTTTCTCTAAATATGAAGCCGCGTGTAGGAACGCGGTCACAGGTGTAACGCTCGATGAAGCGCCGCGCCAGGATCGTCTTATTACGCCGTTACGCTTCTCTAACCACGGAATAATTGATCTCGAGGAATTTTACCACTCGATTAATCCGCCAGTGCTGCTGCGAGCCATTTCCGCGAAAGTTTTGGCCGCCTGTTCATGAAGATCGCGTTATTTCTGCCTCGGCTATGATGCGTCGATTAGTAACCGTCTTGACGTTGGTTCGAGGCATGAATCAGTTCCGCCGTGGAGATATGTAACCCTCTCTTATTTCACGTCTCGGCGATATTATCGATGTTTAATCATCGTGTGAAATATGCGATATTTTGTACCGTGAAATTACCGGAGGAAACGTTCGAGCACTTTATTACGTCGATACGCGAGCAATTTGTAAAAGTAACGCCGGTGGAACGGAGCTTTTGAGAAAGAGTCCTAGCTGGTACTCCGTGCTAAACTAACTATCGATATATATCGCGCTATGGGGCGCTTGGTGATCGTAACAATTTAATCTTGGGACTTTTATTTTATTAACGCTCTTGATACTGCAGCCGATATGTCGATTGGTTTTTTTTTT